CATGGTTCAATAATTCCCAGAAGCAAAAATAAAAAACAAGATAAAAAAAATTCAGGGAACAGAGGTCAAGATAAAACCCGAAACAAATGCATCAGGGCAAAATATACATATGCAATGTTTCAGAGTATCTGAAACAAATTAAACAAAAATTACATTGCATTTGAAGTCAAGTAATAACTGAAGCTGCTTCATAAATACATTAAAAGAGAGCTACATTAGTGTATGAGAATGACAGGTTAAACAAAGGGAGAACACAAGTAACAAGGAAATATTTGAGAAAATAAATGAAGTCATCACTGAGGCCTTGACGACTGGGCCAGAGCAGTGGTAAAAGAGGAAGTTAACTTCCGGATGAGAAATGTACAAATATTGGTGTATCAGTCGAGAAGATACTGAACAAGACAACAACGGGGCTAAAAATCAAGACACCAAGCCCCCACATCAGAAAACAAAGCCAGTGACGACGTTTCGATCCGTCCTGGACCGAAACGTTGGTCCAGGAACGTCATGTAAAGAAAGACTAGTAGAGAAAGTCAATATATAATGTAGGAATGCAGCGTGCAAGGCAAGTAAGAAGTACATCAAAGGAGTCAACAGGAATACAGAACACTGTAGAAGGCCTAATGGCGAACTCTTGCCACTCGCTCCAAAGACCTTCAGCAGTTTTCTGGCAAATTCCAGGGAGGTGTCTGGGGATTCCCGGAACGCCGGTTCAAGTCACCCCCATTGCCTCGAAATGATTTTCTTATTGACACATAAAGTCATTGGGATTTTCATTATATCTACGTCAGAAACGTCACCGCCGTCACTCATCATATCCTCCGTCACACACACAGACACTTCGTCACACTCCGTTACCGCCATCACACACCCGCGCCTTCATGACGAGCATTATGTGAAGACTGGCAGGTAATAATTCCGGTGGTGACGGGACAAAGCCCGAGCCGGGAGCTCATTACTGGGTATTGTTGGTCTGTTGAGGTAGTAATTGTGGGAGGGGGGCGGGGGTATATTCACTCTGGCACTCACCCGCCTTTCAGTGGGGCACTCACCCGTCATTCAGTGGGGCACTCACCCGCCATTCAGTGGGGCACTCACCCGCCATTCATTGGGGCACTCACCCGCCATTCAGTGGGGCACTCACCCGCCATTCAGTGGGGCACTCACCCGCCATTCAGTGGGGCACTCACCCGCCATTCAGTGGGGCACTCACCCGCCTTTCAGTGGGGCACTCACCCGCCATTCAGTGGGGCACTCACCCGCCTTTCAGTGGGGCACTCACCCGCCATTCAGTGGGACACTCACCCGCCATTCAGTGGGACACTCACCCGCCATTCAGTGGGGCACTCACCCGCCTTTCAGTGGGGCACTCACCCGCCATTCAGTGGGGCACTCACCCGTCATTCACTCTGGCACTCACCCGGCATTCACTCTGAGGAAGCTCACGTGATGAATGCATGTCATCAGCCACCTTTCACGTGGTACACAGGTGTTCGGTGCTGGTACACGTGTATGTATGCATGTGTACTGAACTACATATGCTAAGAGGGGTCGAGGTTCAGTTCCCGAGCCCCGCCTTGTCAACCAACGATCATCATTTCATGCAACTACACATGTTGTCCCCCTCGGCTTATATCATATCACATTGACTGGAACACCTGTGTGTAGAGTTTGCGTCAACAGCTTCTCGTTCACACCAGTTTGACTGCCTCGCAAAACTAACGTTACGAGAATACATTTAATGAAGTGTCATTTCCTTCAACCAATTTGCAATTTCTTCTCATTTCCACTACCTCTAGCTTCATCAGCTTTGTCGGGTTATTTTAAATAAACTTTTCTCCCCTCTATGACCCCTCGCAATTCTGACCCCTGATGAAGTGACTCATCTATTTCTTTCTGAAATTAGTTTCTCTAATTCATTCAAGGGCATTTTTCCCCCTTTAACTCCCGTTCACTTCTCTAGCCTGCATGATACTCTTCTGTGTGGAGGGGACGCTGTCGAGTCCTCTCGGCCAGTCGAGAATGATGCAGTCTCAACACTCATTCGCCTCCTGCTTGATTTTTTTTGCCATCTTGACATGGAGCATTTTGTCAGACACGACTCCCTTTAAGCACCATCATAGGTTCGCTGCACACGAAGTTAAATTTGTCCAGATAATACTGAACAAATTATAGACTTTGCACCTAGCAAACTAGAGTGTTTGTGCCAAGCAAACTAGAGTGTTTGTGCCAAGCAAACTAGAGTGTTTGCGCAGCGATACACACTACGGACCATTTTCGAAGCCTACACACCAGTGTTGTTTATCAATAGATGGCGATCGTTTTTTTTATGAACATTTCATAACGGCAAATTCGCTCCTACGAGTGATTAATGACACTGAACCTGGACCTCATATTCGGCTGTGTCCTGGGAGATATACTTTATAATGTATATTATAAAGTATATCAAAAGTATAAAGTACACTTTATATATAGTGATTTATAAATATTAACTGTTGCCCAGTTCTGATTAAGCTAGTTTAGGGTGGGGTTAGCAAGGTTTAGCCTGGCTCTCGCAGACTACCCGGTGTTCGGAAGTGTCGACGTACACAGGAACACGTATGTCGTATGTACGTACGAACACGTATGTATGTACGTGTATATATACACGTACATACATACGCACATACACACAACACATACCCAACACACGGAGCCAAAATGTTAGCAGATCAATCCTTCAGGAAAAAAATAAAGAGTCCTCGCAGCCGAGCGGACAGCGTTCTAGGATCGTTGTCCTAAGGGTCCGGGTTAGATTTCCGGTCGAGGCAGAAACAAATGAGCAGGGTTTCTTTAGCTTAATGCCTCTGTTCACTTATCAGGGTTATTTTATTATTATTATTTGCTACCACAGACGTGGCCACACATTTACAATGCTAACCAGCATATATACATTTTCTTCTGTCCTCCATGGACAGGGTTAGAGATCTGTTAAACATATAGTTCAATGATTTATTGAACAATCAACCACAGGAGGTGATTGTAGGGCCTTAAAAATGCTAATCTAACCTACAGACATAAATACACAGATTTACGTCTGTCCTACATAAACAGTGTTCGAGGTGTCTTTTTACAGTGTCATTAATGTGCGTTTACAAAGGTGCAATGCAATTCTGATCAGCTTCCACATATCCTGCATTCACATATGTATATACACATTATATATAAAGTCTCTCCTACTTTGACAGGGTACGATAGCTGCTATAGAAACTAGTGTGTTATAAAGCACTTAACCACTGAAGGTGATTAAGATGCTTTTACAAAGTCAAGTTATATATATGACTCTGGGGGGCGACTCCTAAGGCAAAAAGAAAAGAAATGGAGGACAATATAGTCAAGAATTATACTTTTATGGAAATTTACAGTCCTCTTTATATTTACAAGCCAGGCTTTTGTAGTGAATTTTAAGAGTTTGCAATGCCAATCGTAGACCTAAAGCTTTCTGATACACAGTACAAGGGTTTATGTGTTTATGAAGATGTTATGTGGGCGTACACCAAGGTGTGGGCGTGCACCAAGGTGTGGGCGTGCACCAAGGTGTGGGCGTACACCAAGGTGTGGGCGTGCACCAAGGTGTGGGCATACTCACGTGAGAGCCAGGTCTGGGGTCGGGTCGGAGGGACTCTTGGCGTAGGTAGTAAGGCGTAATGTGGGCGCCTCTCCCATGTATATACTCTGACGCTCCTTCTCCCGTCGTCGCCTCTCCTCGTCTGCCAGAGAGAGAGTGAGTGAGAGAGTGAGAGAAAGAGAGCGAGAGGGAAAGAGTGTGAGAAAGAGAATGCATGCAAGTAATATAGGTCAAAAGAGTACAATATATTAATCATTATCTCTGATGTACACGTCCACACACCTGCACAGAGTCCATACGCTAGTTTGGCTGTACAAGGACTCTGTCAAGTGTACTGACGGTACACACACCCGCCATACATACCTGCCTCACACACCCGTCATATACCCGCCACACCATATATACTCACCATCGAGGAGAAGGGTGTTGAGCCAGCAGCCGTGCGCCACCACACACACCACCACAACCACCGCCACCCCCACCACACACGCCCCCGCCACCATCACCCCGAAGCGTCCCCACGCCGTCAAGGTGTACATCTGCCCACACGGGGAGACCAGTGGTTAGTAATCTAAGGGGAGGGGGGCAGGACACATGTAAGGGGGGCAGGACACATGTAAGGGGGGCAGGACACATGTAAGGGGGGCAGGACACGTAGGGGAGGGGGCAGGACACACGTAAGGGAGGGTGCAGGACACACGTAGGGGAGGGTGCAGGACACACGTAGGAAAGAGGGCAGGACACATGTAATGGGGCCAAGACACACGTAAGGGAGGGGTGCAGGACACACGTAGGAAAGGGGGCAGGACACATGTAATGGGGCCAAGACACACGTAGGGGAGGGGTGTAGGACACACGTAGGAAAGGGGCAGGACACATGCAAGAGGGGGTAAAGGACACGTGTAGTAGGGGGACAAGGACACGTGTAGTAGGGGGACAAGGACACGTGTAGACAGACAAGGACACGTGTAGAGAGACAAGGACATTGTAGGGAGAACAAGGACACACGTAGGGTGGACAATAGCACATGCAGGGGGCGACAAGGACATGTAAACACATATTTAGACACAGAGTATCATAGTATCACAACAACAACCATTTTTGTAACAGCAATATTCCTAGCCACGTGAGGGAGGTTTTTATTCCACTGTGCTTTAAAAATATTCCTTGCATGTATATCCTATATTTACGTCTTCATTAGTTTTAGAATATTTGTTATTGCAAAGTCGTTTTATGTTTAGTAATTTATACTTTCTCCTTGGAATGTATCGTATATATATATGAGAGAAAATATTCAGGTTATGAAATTGGATTAAACTGGCGTCTCTGGACTCGGCTCATCACGTTATTGTAATTTGATTGTGACGTTGATATATCTCTCTATTTACCTGAC